ATAGAAGAAAAAAATTGTCAGAGAGAAAAATGTTTGACTGCTCATGTATGTCACTGGGTCAGGAACGTAATGAAGTGCCACCCTACCCTGTTTTCTATTGATTCCTTCCATAATGGTGAAACTGTATTTTATCACCCTGGCGATGATGCTTATCCGATGAGCGCAGCAATTCAGCAATATCTTCATTCTTTCTGATATGTCAACAGGAAAGGTACTTCGTAAGTGCGAGAAGATATGTACACAGATTAATCGAAAATTAGAAACATGGTACAGTAGACTGTAAAGCTTCCATACGAGTAGCATTGTTCTGAGATCATGTCTCACTTCTTAACCGGGAACTGCAAAGATTCCATCTCCAGAAGTTTTTGCTTCAAATCGAGTCCTGCGCTGAAACCGTGCAATGAACCGTCTGATGCGACCACTCGATGACATGGAATGACGATGCACAACACATTAGCACCACAGGCTTGCGCTACAGCCCTATAGGCCGTTGGGCGACCAATCTGCGCGGCAACCTACGAATAAGGCAATCTGCTGCAACATCAAAACTGATCGGTCGAGCCATGACTCCAGAAATAATGGTCCTACCTCTGCGTAACTCTTCGTACATCCTCTCGGAATGGTCAACAGCTGCCTATAAACAGCTTTACGGAAATCGGAACAGCGCTCAAATACATGTTTTGAGATCGGAAGATCATCGGTGACCTCGTCTCCGTTCAGCAACTTGGTAATCTGTAGGAAAAATATAATAGGACAGACTACTTGAACTGGAAATGAGAAAATTTTCGTATTACGTGAAACGGCGAGATTCGTCAGATTACGCACCGTCAACCAACATCGATTGAAATTATCGGTTTTGCTGCAGAAGGCTGGCGACAGGCAGATTTATTGAGTATAATAAAAACTGAGTTTTTTACAGCTGTGCTCCCCCACTAGACGCGTATAACGTCGATACTTGCGCGGTCCATACTGCTCAGTGAAAATAAGGGTGGGTTGTCTGACCAGTGCAGCGGCCGATTTCGTCGTTTCACCGTGAGGTTCATGAAAGGGAACTGTACCAAGTAGATCTGAAAATACCCTGCCCAGAAACTCAGAACATCAGAGCAGCTTCAACGCCTCGGGACAGTAGGTCAAAATGGGCGGAGATCTCATGCGTTGGTGCTGCCATGCTCGCTCTTTGAATCTGCCTTCGTAAGACAGGTTTAAGGAACTAGCATGGCAGCACCAACGCATGAGATCTCCGCCCATTTTGACCTACTGTCCCGGGCGTTGAAGCTGCTCTGATGTTTGAGTTCCGAGTGTAACTTGTTATTCTTAGAGCGCCTAAAAGCGAAGGTGGGAAGGGGGAGGGAGGGGCTGGGGGTGTGAAGATTGATTGGCGTGCGACATGCGCTTGGTCACCTGGATCGAATTTCTCCCTGCCACACCTCCAGGGTCATTGGGTCACAAAAAACACTAACTGGCTACCAGGTTTACCTGTGAAGATAAAAAGACTCGACTCATACAACAGTTGACCCCACAAGTTGTTGTTTACTGAGTCCACAATGCCACTACGCAAGGCCTGTTGGGGGGGGGGGGAGGGGTATGAATTACATCAGATCCAGAACAGCCCTTCCCTCCAGCGGACTCAGGGAGGCATCATTGACAGGAGTATTTTGGTCTTCATAGGGTTTCATGTGTGACGCCCAAAAATCATGCTGAGCAACAACAAACCATTTCCCTTACTATTAATGAAATTCTGTCTATTTTCTCTTATCCGCACATACCACACTACCAGCCTACATGTCACCGTCATCTCATGTAATCCAACCACGAATCCGAGGAATAATACCCACGTTTTTTGCATTCTTCAAGTGGCCTTCAACGAACTTTATGGATGGATAGTATCTCGACAAGTCCTTCAGAGCATTGGAAAGTGTTTTTCCACGAACAAACAAAAGCGCAGCCAATTCGTGATCAATCTCAGCCACCAAAACCTGAAAGCGAAAGCTTGGAACATATACTAGCACCAGTTCGTGCAAAGAAACACGCCTAATCTGCTTTTTCCTGAGAGAAAATCCTCGCACAGAAGCTTGTGCACACGAAAATCTACCGTTCATATCAGTGCATAAGTCTCAGCATACACGCCTATCCCGCATGCCAAGACTTATAGGCTGATGTCTAGCTTTCATATTGTTGGCAGGGCACATGGTACGATAGATAGTGACCGGCGGAGGAACCTGGTCGCCCCTGATCGCTGGAGACGTGGGGGGGGAGCTGTATTTGACCGTCGATTCCTGAGGGGAGTCATATATGGCCTCAAGGAAATTTTATATGGTTGTTCACTTTCTGCAGATTTTTCCGTTTCACTGGTGCTGTCGTATACCCCTCTCCTCACTCGACAGCAGTTTTTTTGAGTGGAACATTTTGGGGAATCCCGAAAAACTGGCATAAATTCGGAAGTCAGGATGATGGGAGGAAGGATGGGAAGAGGATCGGGCCAGAGGAGGAAACCAAGTAGATCATCATATTCTTTTCCCAAGATTTTTCCTCAGCAGGACTTGCCCTACTTGTTGGTTGCTGAGCCAACCGTCTGCGATCGCATGACCGCCTCAGGCATTCTGTCTGCGTCTTACAGAATCGGCCAAATTCACTTCCGGTGCCATCGAAAAGAATTGGTGAGCGTGGTCCGCAGTGTCCCAGACATGGCTTGCTCAAATTATTGAAGGGATCCATCCCATTGTACTCTGAGGAACACGCCTTGAACACCAGCAAATCCTTCGCTCCAACGACACCTTGTCTGAGCACGATAGTGCAACTTTAACATTGCCACGCGCGAGGTGAGCGGTGCAACGTTAGCTCAAAATAGAATCGCCCGTCTCCCCAACGGGTTCGGCAAGCATTTAACCTTAGGGTGTGTGACAGGAGAATCGTGATTCGTCGCGCCAGTGGGCGTCGCGTGCGACGTCGCGCCCGCCAATGACGACGACTCTAGGTCGTATTGGTCGTGAATAGACAATATGCGACCAAAAACAACCATAACTTTCTATGATATCCTACTCCACATGGAATCTACATGAAATCCGACGTCTCAGAATTATAGTGCGAATAAAGAAAACGTCGCGCCCATCGCCGCACGCGACGAAGCGACAGATTTCGATTCCCTTGTTCGTCTCCTCCAACCCTCTCGCGATGCCGCCAGATTCGTTCCGTCGGATTTTCACAATCTATATGTATCACAAACTTTTCACGGACGCGCTTCTTTTTTCTTCTGCAGTGTTGCCCACTGTGAGCAACAGCTTATAACCGGCTCAGCGCAGCTCAGACCTGTGTAATAGTGAACTAGAAAACCCGCTGATAGCCCAGGACTTATTTCCCGGCGCATTTTGCAACATAGTAACTTGTTCTTTTTACCTTTATTAGGTTCCTATGAAAACCTGAGTAGTAACCATTTTCAATCAAATTCCTGTGAAATTCTGCCTAGAGGCCTAAAATTCTAGCCTAGAACTAGGCACTCAGGTGGCTAAGCGGCAAACAAAAAACTCCAAACCGCTTCTGGTGCTTCATAACGACAACCTGATGCAAACATCACACAATTTTGAGCAGCGCTGCCCCTCCCGCCCCCTCCCCCCACGTATAGCCTCAAAAACGTACAAAACACTTACACGCCAAGTTTTCACAAAGGCTAATCTGAATAATTACAAGTGCAAGTCTCAGCTGTGGATGATACCTTTCATAACACCACCTTTTTTGCAGAAATTATTTTAGATTCATGAAATCGTTGTCTAGCTAGGCCGGCAGAAGCTTTTGATCTACAAACTAATGAAGTACCTCACCTCACCAAGAGGACTGGAGATCATTTCGTAAACCCCCGGCATGCATTTGTGATGAACGCTACAAGTTCCACAATTAACCCACACCTGTTATTTTAGAGTAGACTCTGCACAAGTATCAACGCTGTCAACAAGCTGTGCAAATAAAGTGCTTCATTCGAAAAAAAAACAACAATTTATTTTCAATAACAAAATTAGTCGAAAAGACCGAATCCCATGTCATCATCGGATTCCTCCTTCTCTTCCTTCTTCGCTGGCTTAGCTTCCTCTTTAGCGGCAGCGGCAGCTGGGGCAGCAGCTCCAGCAGCCGGAGCGGCAGCAGCTGGCGCTCCACCACTAACCTGTAAAAAATGCATAATTTCTATTATTCTCAAGGTTATTTCGTATATCAAAAGATCAGGATGTAAGACATCGAAGCTAATATGAACTAATGGGCTTCAGAAGCAAACAAAACCTATAGCAGAAGAGGAACAAGACTAGTGGTTTGTAAAATTTTTAAGCGCATTAGACTCCAAGCAGTCAGCAAATCGCACAAGATAGTACGTAAATTCTAAGAATTTGCTTGAAATTCCCTAACAATCGGTTATTTTTCTAATCCCTTGGACCTTAGCGAGGTAGATCCCTTGTATGAAAGGACTTAATTCTATCTAGCAGTTATTTCAATTTAAGTTCGTGAAAATTGCAAAATACGAGACCTTGAAAAATAGGTCATATAAGACTTGTCATTATGTTGGCACTCGTAGGAGACACTTGCCGCAGCCGATACTACATGACACTGTTTTCGGGCATGGAACAGTGGGGGAAAGGATGCGTCATACTTAGTTGCAGCGTTCGAGCGTATCTCGGTGTTTTAAGCGTCCCACACTCTCAGCGTCCGCCAGCGTTCTGAGGTTTGGGCAACTAAGAAAGTACTGACATCGATTATCGCCGAAAACACTGGCGCTAGCTCAACATGCTCACGCTCAAGCGCGCAAAATGCAAATAGACGCTCAAAAGCTAGATCGATGCTTATACTTCCCTAGTCGCTGAAAACAGTGGCGGATGCTCAAAGCGCTGGTGGATGCTCAGAACACTGGATTGAAACCAATACTTAATAGTGGCTCAAAACGCTATAAACGCTCAAAATGTTGAAAGACGCTCAAAATGCAAAGCATGAGCGCTTGTTAACACAAAAGCACAGTAAAAGTCTCCGCTGAAGGGGGTTACATAAGAAAACTCCAATAACGCGCTTGACCATTCTCTCCACAGACGACATAGACGCCTATCCACTTTAGTGCTGGGGAGTGATAACAATGAACACACAATGAACAACAATGAGCTTTGAATTCAAGAATTCTTTTATCAACCATGGATCGAAGAGTTCCAATTCTGGAACCCATGCAGAGTGGAAAATCAAGAGAAACGCTCAAGTATTGCGGCAACCCCTCCGTCAACGGAATGTTTGTGGATAAGTCATGAGGGTTAGGATCAAAGATGAGAGCATGGGATACGCATCAGTTGTGGGGATGAGTTCACATTTTGCGACGCGAGACGAGAGAATCCGGAGAATAAGCGATTCTAAGTTTCAGGGCTAAGTGGAGACCGATCGACTATGCTGTTAGCGATTCGACGTTGTGTGAAAACTACGATCTACAAACGTTAAACCGTCAATTCTCGTCTTTCCCTATCGGGAAGTACGTTTTTAGCGTGAGTCGAGATGAAAAAAGGGATTGTTGCCTAGGACGCCTCTTGCTTAGCGAACGTCAAAATACACGATAGGCAACAAAAAACCACATGGGAATCGTTCCAACGTTATGCGCATTCTATAATGATCCTTGAAACTATCGGTGGGTAGAGTCAACCAATTCCCGACTAATTCTTTGTCGCCGAACTGCGGACCGCACCCTCCCTCCCCCCTCCCCCCACACATTCGTAAAGTTAGACGCTAGGCACTTAGGCTGCGTCCAAACTTTGCGCCAGCGTCTTGAGCATTTTGAGCGACTAGTAATGTATAGATGTCGATTTAGCGCACGTCAGCGTGCGCCGTTTCGTACTGTCCATGAAACGCTCGAAACGTTGGCGTACGCTATAAACGCTGCGCAAAGTATGAACACGGCACACACTTGCTCCCCCAAACTTCAGGCAACCAGTATCTTTATCGCAAACATCACGCAGACCTAACGTGCTCCAAGAACAAACTGGGAAAACCCGCTGATTTCTTGCGACTTTAATGTTAACCTTCAGTTTTCTTAGACAGTTAGTGTTAAGAACTCTCAGGAATCGCAAACCATCCATAAATAATTATGACTGCAGCCATAAATCGGAGAACAAACGTATTCACTTCTTACAAAAGTAAAGAAGTGAATTGTTCTAAATCCAGACAAAATAGGAACTCACCGCTACTAAACCAGCAGCGCCTTCGGCTATAACTTCTTCGATGTTCTTTCCTTGTAGCCGTGAAATGACGAGCTTGGCTGCCTCAGGGTCGGTATCCACTCCAACAGCACCGAGGATATTTTTCAAATCATCCAACTAAAACTAGTGGATAAGACCCAACAGAAAAAGTGTAGTCTGCCGTAAAAGTATGAAAGCACTGCAAGTATACCAACCTTTGGAGATGGATTTCCACCGGCGACCGCAAGGAGGTAAGCAGAAACGTAACGCATTGTACCTGAACGGTACTGAAGATAGTAAAGAAGAATGGTAATCCTCTCAGGAATTAAACACTACGAACGTATACGACGAAAATGAAATGAGATCACATAATCTTAAGACGAATGAATAAACGCGACGACCACAACGACTTAGTTGTGGGTGATGCTTTTCCGAAAAATATCGCAGTTACTCAACAAATGGACCAATATAGAAAAACTCTTGCAAAACTGACTCGTTCCTTCAAGTACATGATAAAGAAAGCTGTAAAAGAGCCGGAATAAACAAAATGATCACAGATTTTCAACAACAGTTGGAAAATGACTTGTCCTCCGACTTTCTCTGATTGAGACATAGCATTTTAGAATCGACATAACGATCGAAAACAAGAAGTCACAATGAATCACTACTCTTGAAACAGTCACATTTATGTAGCTGTAATTAGCAAAGAAAAAAAACCACTGGTTTACAAATGAGTAGTGATTTAGAACAGCTAAGAACTGATCTCGCTGCGAGGGTCCAGGGTTATTTTCACGAGGCATCTACCAGTCCAGTAGTTGAAGGGAGAAGGTAAAGGAGGAGGGATCAGAGAAGGAAGGAAGGAGGAAGAAAAAAAGGAAAGAGAGGAGAGGTTTCTCGGTTGACAACTGCCCTCAGACGAAAAAAGGTTACAGACAGTTCCTCCCCCCCCCATTCCCGGAATCTTAGCTACAGAACATATCTTAGCTACAAATACTTAAAACAATTAGAAACCTGCAATCTATGATGCTCCATTTCTTATGCAGAACGGCTCTAAGCGTTTGCTTTTAAACTCTCCAAGATAAAACGAGGCGAACCCCACCTAAATCGACTAATACATTAAACATCAGGACGCAATTTCGAAGAGAAAAATACAAAAAACTTTTTAGGCCACGTTAAAATAAACCATCTATCGAACAACTGCAAGCGGAAAACTCGTCCGCATGTAATTTGCGCAGCAAGCTTGCCGCCCTGAGAAGTATGGAAAATCGTCTTTTTGCAAAGTTTTTAAAGAAGCAGCTACTCTAGGAATTAACTGTGCAGCATTCGGTAAAAATTCGGACAAGAAACCAAATAATTTGGTTAAAAGAAAAATAGAGAGCGAGTTTCTTTTGCAAGAGCGATTTCTGTGCGAGACGCTTTGACGAGGTGCACCCTTAATCCTTTAAAATTTCCAGTTTAAAATTTAAATTTTGCAAATTTGTAGGGTTATTGTTTCTTGTAAGGATAAGCGTCTGTTTCTCACTATGCATCTTTATACTTCTATTACTTTGGGATATATGACGTCTGCCATGAAATGGACGTTGTGGCAAATATTTGCACAATAATTTTATGAAGTCACTTGTCTTTACCTGTTTTCAGTCTTGCTTCATGCTGCGTTACGCAGCTCGCCGAGTATTGTCCACAGCTACAGCTCGGACTGTTGAAGCGTCGTCGTCAACGCCAGAACATCGTTTCGGACCACAGTTTAATGTTGAGGAACCGGTGGGTGTTTTTTCGATCTCCCCACAAAACTTACAGCTTTACCAACGTGTTATACTCTTCGTTTGAATATTTAAGAAGTCTTGGCTCAGTCGAAGGACTGTAAGAATGGTACAAAAGTCATGGAGCTTATGGTGTAAAAGCGGCTTTGATGGCACATCTAGCAGCGCATTTGTCTAGGAAGTGCAGCGCGGATTTGAATCCAGCCTAGCGTTAAGATTACCGGTTTAACTTCTACATTTTATTTTAATGAGGTCTACTGCAGCTTCATCGTGTGTTAATCATCGATTTTTTGGAAGTGATGAAAGCAAAGAAACAGCTTCGCGGTTCCGAATAATACCGCCTTCATAGTTTGCGATTCTAGAGGCCGAGAGAATAAGCGTTTCAATGTTTTCAGAATGTGCACGAGGGAGTAGGTGAGAATCGCTCAACTTCGATCGCTAGCGACATGGGAACGTGAGCTTCGAAATCTGAAGAGCGTGTGCTTGCGACCAGTCAATTACCCACCTACTCCTTTAACGTTCATATTTTCGTCGGTGCTTTGAACGTTTTGTTCAAAACGCCACATTGATACCTATACTTTCCTTTTCGCCCAAAACGCCAGACCGACACCTACACTTTCTTTTTTGTCGAAAACACTTGAAGCGCTCAATATCGATGAAAACTGCGAACACAGCCTGTTTCTCCTAATCTTCCGAGTCGCACAGAATGAACGCGCCTCAGTAGTGTAATTGCAACAGCGATGCTAAAGAAATTCTCTGAAGCACTGTGCAGAGTGAGATTCCTAAGCCTACTACGCATTACCACTAGCTCGAGAAGTTATGATTGAGCTTGCCATCAACAAGTATGTTATTAGTGTCGACGCATGTTTAAGATTCAGAAATGATATACGGTGAACCGCCAATAAGTCTACATAAATGATAGAAAGCTCTGAATTGTCACCAGAAACGTTTCTAGTTTTTTGACTGGTACCTAGATTTCCGTGGAGTGACCTTGCCTGAATATGAAGGGCATGTCCACATCATTTCTACTATGTTCGAGTTGCGAGACCACCCACTGTCGCTGATAAATCTATCAAAGCCCGCTGCCCTTGATGCGTATTAATTAAATATCATACAACCGACTTTCGTCATACTGTTTACCCGCCCCATAGCTAAAGAGTTCTACGAAATTTTTCCCCCACAGTTTGATGTGAGTAAAATGCCTTCGACAAGGTACGCAGATTCTTAAGTCATTGTTCCCTGTGTACTGTAGCGATTCCGAGGAGTTGCAGCGAAGGAGCCCGCATACCAAAGATATTCAGTCTGGCTCAACGCACACCTCTGATTTGTATGTGACGCTCATCTAGCTTGCCGTTTCCACGTGGGAAGTCGGTGTACCCGTGTTTCGGAGTCTCGGTAAGCTCCTATGACCCCGCAAGTGGCGACTGGGCATCTTGGCCGACAGATGCAGTGGGTGGCACATCCGATCATGAGGTGATGCAATGCCCTTGATACTTCCTATATGAGATGCGAAGCTCCTGATACTTCTTAAATGGTACTCATAACCTTTGTCCATAAACACCAACACACACAATATCCAAGCGCACTTCTTGGCTAGTAAGCTAGACTATCAAATTATTTTTTCATTCGGCTATCCCCTAGATCTGTCCTACGAGGGTATCTAGTTCAGTGCTACCGGAGCTGTGTTTCCTAAGTTTTTCTGTGTTGTAATCTCTGTTTAAGCTGAGTTTTTAATTTATATCTTTCCTTAGTCAATACTACGTGTTTCACACTACCGCTGCCTATTACTGAATGACCTTGGCGCGTCCGGTGGACGCAGAATAAATAAATAAATAAGACAGTCTGCTCGATTGGTTTCGGGAAACACTATGTTTGTATAAATTAAGAAGTAAACGCCGGGAAACTAGATGTATGTGCTCTGATAAGGCACATTCTTAAACTGTGCCCGCGCTCAAGCAATCGGTAGGCGTCTTTCCTTGTACTGTAAATAGTTAGCTTGACCCTCATCCTTTAAGATTGTCCCACTTTCGCAGCTCCACAGTAAGTACGAAGGCGCTACGGCCTTCATAAGTGGCAGTTCTGACGCCTCCCGAGTTGTTAGATGTTATTCGCATTGAATACGCGAAGAAACGATCGGTGACCCAGAGACGGCAAGACAGCGCTTTGCTGGCATAAAACGAGCAGATCCCGAGAACTCATCCATAGAGCTGCCAGCTCCTTACCTAGCTTCCAGTTTCTTTTGCTTTTTTCTCCTCTGGAGAATCCCTTGGAAGTTATGAGTTCGCTATTGAATGCCAATACCCAATCCATCTGTGGAGTTCGTCTTCGAAGCTTAACTTTGTAGACTTCAACTTCAGTGTGCTATGTTATTTTTTTTACTTCAAACGACTTCGTGCAGATCTGCAACCTGATACTTACCTTTTCCAGGTAGCCCAAAATCCGTATCTTTGTTTGTTCCCGGCTCCGAAAGTTGTCGTTCCAAACTTTGAGGTGACACGAAAGTTGGGAACATTCCTGTCTCAAGGAATTTACCAGTTATGTTATGAGAAAGCGTATAATTTGGAGGGATTCATCCACGCTGCTAATCAGGTAATTGCAACTCCTTCTAATATTGCAAGGTTTTCAGATATATTTATTAAAATTACAAACTTGAAAATCTGGCAATTTGCAATCTTCTCTGATGAGTGTTTGTTTAAGGGCACTTCAGTCATAGGAGAGTGTATTGCTAATGAGGAATGGAGCCGTATGAGCGTAGTGGCATCAACGGACCTTGTTGAGAATACAAAAGTAGCCCGGCGCAGGTTAGCAGTTCTGCTGTTTTGATATTGTCTTCAGCTAATACGCAGGTGAAGCTGTCCAACGGCATTGCTAACGTGAAATGGTACCGCAAACCTAGCTGTAAAAATATCCTGATTCACGCAACGTCTTCACATCCTGCTGCAGTGAAACGTGCAGTCATTAGGAATATTTTCACAGCAAGCACTGCTGTACCGT